AGGGAAAAGTCACAGAAGAGGTGTCATTGGAATTGTATCTTAAAGGACACATTGCCCAAGGACAGGAGCCACGCTAAAGACATGGCAGCTTGAGGAGAAAAAGACACTTGAGGAATGAATGACCAGGATTTGTGTCAAGAGCTGAGTGTACGTAGTTGAGCTCTGCCTTAGTCTGCTCTTGCTGCTATAACAAAGTACTGTGGTACCTCGGTTCATGAATTTAATTTGTTCCATGATTCTGGGGAAGACGGCCACATTTGTGTTCATGCAGGAAAGATGGCCACAGTCACATTAGTCACCCAATGTGGAGTTCTCACATTTAAGTAAAATTTTGCCTATCACTCTGCTTGCAAACCAAGATATTACTTACTGCAGCTTAGGCTGGATGATTTATACGTAATAGAAATTGGGCTAGGATGTAGACCATTCATAGAGCACTTGCCTTACATGTGCAAGGTCGTGGATTCTACCTCAGCACTGCATCAGATTAATAATAATGATTTATCAACAGTTCTAGAAGCTGGAAAGTCCAGGAGCAAGGCACTGGCAGATTCAGTGCCTGGCAAGGGCCACTACCTCCTCCATCAATAGTCCCTGGTTGCTGCCTCTTCACATGGTGCAAGAGATGGAAGGAAGTATGTAAAGCTATTCCTTCAACTCCTTTCAAGGGGCACTAATTCCATCCATGAAGGCAGACCCCTCATGACCTAATTACCCCTTAATAGCATTACCTTGGGGATTAAGTTCCAACATATGAATTTGGGAAGGACATTAGCACTCAGACCATAGTGGGTAGGGAGAGGGAAAAAGGAAAAGCTGGAAATTAGGCAACAAAGATAGGTTTAGGACCAATTGTCAAGTGCTTTTAAGTTTTATTTATTTATGTATGTATTTATTGGTTTTTATTTGTTGTTTTTTTTTTAATCCCACCCTGGAAGTTGAACTCCATGTGGACCTTTTAAGGCAGCTAAGTAGATGATCACTTAGAAGGGTCCTATGGCAGCCACATGGAAAGTGGATAAAGGGGCAAAATGTAACTGCTTTGAGCTGTCCAGTCAATTACAAAATAAGGTCTATGGGCCGGGGATTTGGCTCAGTGGCACCGTGCCTGCCTTGCAAGCACAAGGTCCTGAGTATCATCCCTGGCACAAAAAAAAAAAAAAAAAAAAAAAAA